TTTCTTGTTTCAGTGATCGCATCTTCGCCTTGTGAATCCTTGTACAGTATGTGTCGAAACTTATGAAATATAGATCAACTTGTTTCGATACCCCTTAAACGGTAACTATTGTTGCAATGAGGTTACAAAGCTATTTAGCTGGGGGATGTCGATACAGGCCAAAATGTGAATTCCAGGAAGCAGTTGAATACGTAGGTGCACCCTTTGGAAAAATAATTTTTCCGCTTCCCAAACCATCAGATAGGGACAATGTCTGGCCTGATTACTGCAGTATTTAAAGAATGGAACTGCAGATGTTTGCCCAAAACCGGCATCTCTGCTCATGGTGTTACACAAAAACACTCCTACCTAGGGTATAACATCTCGGCGTCTCGAATTTTCGACGTCCGATCCAGATACCGCGGTTAGTTCTTCAAGACAATTCTGGGAGAAACGTTCCCCTTGCAACGAGCCATGCGGCGGATACTCTGGACCAACACGATGACTAGATAGATGTCCGGAAGGCGTCATGTCATTTCAGGCGCACCTCGGTCGACTCCCATTATTGAGGCAGCTGGACTAGTAGACTGGTATGCGAGGGTCGATACAGCCTTATCGTACATACATTAAACGAGACGTGTTCAAGGTATCGGGGGAGTTTTACCCCCAAGCTATTTGCGGTCTTGCCATGCAGTGCGTGGTCACGCGGTACGAGTCCCTGAGTTTTGATCGGCCGAAGGGAAACAGTCCGTGCTGTCAGCCAGAGCTTCAATCCTTGCGGAAGCCCTTCGCAGGTACGCCGCAATTGCAGGGGTCTGTAGCTGCTGTCGCTTTAACAAATGCGGCGGGAAGCAGCCAGACAAAAGCCCACGGCACTAGCAGTAGTTTCTGAGAGGTGAGGTGTAGGGAGTGATAAGTTATAGGCCCACGTGACGGTCGTAGTAATTCGCTTCATTTGTCTCGTGCAGGTTTGACTACGCCTGACGTCCAGTAACTGGAACTCGACTCTCATATGTGGTGTCTAAAAGTTAGGCTCTGCCTAGCGGCCACACCCCCGTAACCGCTTCGACTGGCGGGCTAAACCAGGTGGGGATATCCGGCGATGTGCGTCCCCACACCCAGTAATTCCTTTTCCCATTCCCTTTCCTCACCTTCCCTTCCTGCCCAGACATTCCCTCCTCCCCCCCCACTTTAAGAACTCCTACAGAGCGGGCGACATTAAATCCCGTAGGTGGCCCAGGCTAACTCAGGTCGCTGTCACACCAAATCAAGCCGTTTAGTTTGGCTGAGTAGAGTTTGCTGAGATGTCTGTCTCAGCAGCCCTGTTTTTTGGACAGAACAGCTTACCTCCTCACTGGGGGGGGAGCTTGGAAAGGTGCCCTAACCAAATGTTGGGATCACGTCATCTGCAAGCAGACCGTGACGCGCAGATGAACTCACAGGTTGAAACAATAAAACAAACGTCAATAAGCGTCCCCCTCCCCCCACCGGCTGCTAGAGTGAGTCAGATGACTCTAACAGCCTGGAATGTTCGTTCTTTCTTAGACAATCCGAGGAGCAACCGACCCGTACGGAGGACGGCGCCAGTCACTCGACAACTAGCGCGCTGCAAGGTGGAAAAGGCTGCTCTCAGCAATATCCGGTTCTCCGCGCAGGTCCAACTATAGGAGGTAAGTGCCGGCTGCACCTTCTGCTGGAGAAGCCTCCCAAAGGCGTCACCTTTGCCACTCGGAACGGCATCGTAGAGGAATTGCTCTGTCTGCGGGAGGGCGTTAACGACCGACTAATGAGCCCGCGCCCGCCTCTTCGATGATCTCAATTCGCCATCATCGACAGTAGCTACGACGCTCAATGACCAGCTCCGACGGAGCGAAGACCAAGTTCTACGAAGACTTGCACGTCCTCCTAGCAATTGTGCTGAAGGCGGACAAGCTGGTTGCGATTGGCGACTTCAGTACCCCCGTGGGACAGAATGCACTGTCTGGAGGGAAGTGCTGGGTCCGCATGGGATCGCCGGCTGCAACGATAACGACTTCCGTCCCCTAAAAACTTGCGCAGACCAACGCCTCCTCCTGACTAACACTTTCTTGCGCCTCCAAACGAAAAAGAAGGCGACCTGGATTGACCCCGAATGCGACGCTGGCAGCTGCTGGACTACGTTCTTCTCCGGAAGCGAGATCGACGGGATGTGTGGGTGATAAAGGCCACCTGTAACGCCGATGGCTGATCGATCACCACCTCGTCACCTCCAAGATCAGGGTCCGACCGCAATACGGCAGGAGGCCACAAGGTAAGCGACCATCAGGCAAGTTAAATACTACTCTGTTGAAGTTGCCTGCTCGCTGTTTGCATTTCAACAGTCAGCTAACCCAGCGCCTGAAGGACCTGTCAACCCCTGACGATAATGCCACCATGGAAACTCGGTGATGTCAACTGCGGACTACCTTCCACTTGACCGTCTTGGACGTCCTCGGACGCACATATCGTCGCGACCAGGACTGATTCGACGATAATGACGTAGGCAATAGCCAACTGTTCGCTGGAAAGTTCAGGCTGCACAGAGCCTATGCGAACAATCGGATTGACGCAAACAAGGCAGTCTTTTCCGCTATCATCACATCGTACAGTGACAACTGAGACGTCTGGATGACCAAGAAAATCAAGGGATATGCTGACCGCAATAAAATCAAGAACTTCACAGCACTCAAAGCGGTCCACGATTCCCAACCAAAGAAACCACGTTGCTTTTCAGCTCCGATGGAAAAACACTTCTGATGGAGAAGTTGCAGATTCTGAAGCGCTGTGCCGATCACTTCAGAAGTGTCTTCCATCGCCCATCTACGATCTCCGACGCCGCCGTTGACTAACTCCCTCAAGTAGAAACAAATGATGACTCGAATCTGCCGCCTCCTCGCCCAGAAACAATCCGAGCCGTGCACCGACTCTCCAGCGAGAAAGTATCAGGGCCCGCGCGATTCTGGCCGAACTCTACAACCCCGGCGGTCCTCGGCTAATGGATCAGCTCATAACGCTATACCAGGTGATGCGGTTCCGAGCACAAGATCTTCAGGAGTTCAAGGATACGACAATTGTTCATCTATACAACTAGAAAGGGAACGGGCTGATCTATGATAACGAGTGAGGAGTCTCGCAGCTCAACACCGCCGGGAAGATCTTCGCTCGCATCCTCCTCAATCGTCTTAAAAGCCACCTCGAACAGGGCTTCCTGTCGGAAAATCCCCGTAGTCTTCGACGCCACCACGGAATTACCGACAGGGTCTCCACCGCCCGCCAGCTGCAAGAGAAGTGCCAGGAAGTGCAGATCCAACCCTACACTACCATCGAGGACCTGACAAAAACCTTCAACACGGGGAATCGCGATGAACTGTGGAAAATCATGCAAAACTTCGGTGTTCCTGAACAATTATCGCACATGGTGCGCTAACCCACGAGGAGATGATGGCGCACGTCACGGACAAGGGGACCGCCTCCGAAGCATTTGCAGCAATCAACAATGAAGCAGGGCTGCGTACCCGCCCCAAACCCTCCTCAGCCTCATGTTTTCCGTCATGCTGATGGGCGCTTACCGTGATCAGCACATCGAGATCCGCCTCACCTGCAGGACCGACAGCCATATTGTCAACAGCTGGCTCATGCAGGCCTCAACGCGTCTCACTACTACTATCTACGACCTGCCCTTCGCTGACGACTGAGCCCCCAAGACCCAGACGGAAGCAAACATTCAGCGGAACATTAACCTCCTCGGCTCCAGCTGCACCAACTCTGGGCTGATAATCAATATGGACAAAACAGTGGTTATGCATCGATCGTAGTCTAACGCTGGATGCAGTGTTTTCTGCATCCACGTCAACGGCACCCCATTGAAGACCGTGGACAAATTCGCCTAGTTAGGCATCGAATTCGCGTTGCATCAAAATCAACGAAGTGAACTACCGGATCTCTCAAGCCAGCCAAGCCTTCGATCGGCTGCAGAACTCCGCATGGAACCGCCACGACCTCCTCCCGAACATCACGCTGAAGATGTACAAAGTTGTCATCTTGACGACTGCTCTATGGTGTGGAGGCCTGGACAGCCAACGAGAGCCAAGCGCGGAAAGTCAATCACCTCCACGTCAGTTGTCTCTGTCGGATACTAAAGCTGAGGTGACAAGACAGGATACCGGGCACAGAAGTTCTGAAACGGACTGAATCTCTCAGCATCTACGCCTCGCTGGCGCAAATGTAACTGCAACGGAGCGGCCAACTTGTGAGGATGGACGGGCGCCCACCAAAACAATTCCTCTATGAAGATGTCGTCACGGGTGCTCCCCGACACGAACGTCAAACCTGTTGCTACAAGGTACCTTGGAGAATACTTTGAAACAGTGACAGACTTACACGAAGACTTGGGAAGACCTCACACAGGACCGACCAGCCTGGCGAAGAGCAGTGAAGACTGAAACGGCCATCTATGAAGCCAACCAGATCGCCGCTGCTAAAGCCAAAGGGGAAGCCCGAAAGTCCCAGGCGCCCCTGACCCATAACGCCAACAACCAACTCCTTCCGACATGCTCGCGCTATCAACGAATATTTCACGGGCGAATCGGCCTCGTCGGACATCTCCAAACCCCGTGCACCGACCGCCCGACAACTGCTGTCTCCCCAACTGCCCCTGATTCAACCCCGACGGCGGCACTCACCCTCATCGCCGATGCTCAACGTTCCCAAGCCCCGCTGCCGACGGTCACCGTCGTCTCCATCATCCTTGTCACAACCTCAGCTGCCACCACCACAACTCTCTCTCTCTCTCTCCCTCTCATCGCCGAACAAAACTTTCTATACGGCCCCCCAACCACCACCCTAACCGTTACCAACCCCACCTTCAGCAGTGGGGACTTGGTCTTAACCTGTTCCTATTGTGATCACCCATTCGCCTCATCCATCGGCCTGGTCGGCCGCTTGCGAATCCTTCACACTGCGGCCGGCACACCAACGCCAGAAGTCCCCATATACACTCACCGCTCGGCCTTCACCATTCACGTGTCTGCAACAGTGGGATTCACAGTAGTATCGACACATATAACGCATCCTGCACATCCACCAACCCTCCCTTCCCCAGCCCTATCGACTACCGCTCCCACAACTAGCAGCACCACACCGACAACCGTCCCCCACTAACGAAAGAGTCCCTATTGCGTAGTGGTCAGAGACTCGCAGACGGCAGTCTGAAGTTCGCCATAGGAGGTCTCCTTCTGCATCAGGGCATAGGTCGCCACAACTGCGATGTTGGTAATAACAACACGAAGGCGCGCAAAAGCGATCCTCGGGGACGTTGCTTTCCAGCACCCAAACCTTGTCGTAGCTCAGCTGTCTGTCTTCTTTCCGCAGACTTAATCATACTAGTCAACCATGGTGTGCTGCGGCCGAGGCTTTGCATATACAACCAAACTAGCAGGATGACTAGAAAGACTGACGGTTTAGACATCCACGGAACACGCACAAACTCACTTCGTCGTTAGCGTCAGAGAGATTGGACTAATTGACAAGCGCTACGTCTACCGAACAGGGGCCTCTGAGGGCGAAGGAAGAAGAAGACACAAACCGCTCTTGACACGTGTCATAAAATGAAGTCGACAAATGAAGCACGCTGAAGTAACAGTTGTGCGAGGTCAGAGGCTGAGAAAAAGGAATCCAAAGAAGGGGCGATGGGGCAACAAGACGCCAGCAGCTCAAAATAAAACTTTCAGTCAGCGTCGCGCCCTTCGGGAGAGTGGGAAAGGACATAGAGAAAATATACTAGGGGAACTCGTTATGGAACAGGTACAATTCAACTACACATTCCCCTTCACCTCGTCATTGGGAGCCAGGCCGCGTTGTGTGCGAGGCTCCTGGCATGGAAAGCATCTTCCTGAGCCAGCAAGCACAGACTACTGCCAAGGCTAACAGAATGGCAGTGGAAAGAGGAGCTGAGGGGATGAGGCGGGAATAGAGAGGCTCTGTACAAGGAGTCGATATGCGAGAACAAAGACCGCAAACGGGGGGTAGGGAGGAAAGGGCTAGCGTTTCCACTGGGATCGCGTTCTAGGGGCCCCATGGACCGGCGCAGGTTTTGCTTGAGGCTTGGATGGGGGCTTGTCAACCCGAAAGATGTATATGTTCAAGTAGTCGGCCAACTGCACAGAAACGGCGGCAGAATAGCGGAGGGTATCTGCAATCGCCCAAATCTGATAAGGGAGGCAGAGACAAAAATTACCGTTTGGCAAATCAGAGATAGACAAGTCTGCTAGCGAAGGATCTGGCGAACGCGAACCAAGAGCAAGAAGCAAGGTTTTAAAATGTACTACCTACTTGTCGGCAAGGAAGAAGCATATATTCACTAAAATTCCGGAAAAGAGCAAAGTCGTTTGGGGACTTCCCACGGAAAGTTGGGACCGGTGTCAACTAGGCGGATGCGAGCCAGACGAAAGAGTAGGAAAATGTGGTATTTTGAAGTTGCGGCTACTTGGGGATGACTTGGACAGTGGATAAATATGACACAGACCGGACTACTGCACAGTGACTGCTGTGGGAGGCTATATGCGTCAACCTGGCTACGTCGCTGTCACGCCGTACAGAACTTATCAAAATATCTCAAACGGTATTGAGCATTTTCGTCCTAGTCACACCAAGTACACGTATTGTAGGCGACAAGCCCTTTGAAAAGTCTGGTAGAATCCTCACGTGTATCGTCAAATAACGCAAGACCGAAACCGCAAAACTGATACGTATACACAATATGCTCCAGGCAGTCTTAAATCAGGGCATGCTGGATTTTGGTCCTATGACGGTCATTCTCAGGAAAGGACGCAGCCAAAGCAGCACGGTTTTCTGCACCTGCACAAAGTCCCATCACGTCGCTAAGACGACTGAAATAGATTTTGTTCCTTAAATGTGCCCAGATGGATAGGCTGCCGGGGCTTTAGAAGACTTCGAAATTGCGTATATTTTTGAGAAACCACCTGTGTGTTGCACATTTTTAGTTTTCTAACTCGATTATTGCATGCGTTTCCTGAGAACACCTTCCTATTTTCTTCAGTGGTGCTATAGAAGGAAGGTCTTGACTTCACCTAATATCCGAACAATCGTAGTATGCTTGGAGGTGGGGAGGGGGACGGCAGAGGGATCAACAAACATGAGGATGCCGAGGTACGAATATTTCAAGAGACGTCTCATCCCTAAATTACGATTTTTTCCGATCTAAATACGATCCCAATCTCCAAACTACTTCTCCCGGATGTGTTTTTATGCTAAATTCGAGCTTAAAGGACAAAACATACTATACGGCGCCTTGTACTCCCGGATCCCAGGCGGCCAAAAAATTCCAACACTGAATAGCATTACCGAGGAAGACAAGGGAATGGCCATCTCTGGCTTGTTAGCCGTCGTCAGCCAGTCATGTCCAATCCCGAGGTGTGCAATCCCTGGGTCTTGATCTTGCAACCTGTTGGTTAGAAGTCTAACGATGTAACCATTGAGATGCGGGCCAGGTGTTGCACACCACGGAGTTGAGCAAGACTGGCTGACGACGGCTAATAGGCTAGAAGTGGCCATTCCAGTCTCCCATGTATTTGTCGGTAATGCTATTCTGGATATGTTTCACGCCACTGTGTGGCTGTTGGCGGGACTCAGAAGCCAGCGCCAGGGCACAACATGACAAGTGAGTTCGGTAACGCGCTCAGTGAGTGCCCTCTACCAAATCCAAGACCCCCCAGGAAAGTTAAGGGTGGTCAGATAAGGTAGTCTCATCACCACCGTACTAAATCAAAAGGACGTAAATACATTCTTTTTAGTAACAACCTGCGTCCCCCAGGTAGGACACGGAAATAGATATCCCTCCGTGATACAGGTGGCCTTGCGCTAAATTCCAGGAAGTGTACCTATTCCATAGCCCATCGCACCTTAAACATGACCCCTGGAATTTAGCGTAAGGCCGCCTTTAATACAGCCGGTACCTATTCTCGTTCCTGGTTTGACGGCGAAGAGGAACAGATGAGGTATCTGGATCGACATTAGCGTGTGGCCACCAGGGTAGAGTGTGCTATGCGTCTCAACAACGGGCTGCTCTGCAAGACCAGAAAGGGGAGCCAAACTGGCATACAGCGTGTCTTGATCGGTCTGTGCAAAGTCCATGTGAAACCTTAGATTCTGCCGTACATGGGTGCGTCAGCCAGTGCGCCCAAAATCTTATCATCGTCCAGTTGACAGACTCGGAGAAGTCTGTCTCACTACGAAAAAAATTTACGCGCACGTCATCGCTACTGTGCCCACCTTGTGAGGCAGCAGTGGTCATCGCTTGCGACAGCCGAACCGTCAGTAAAAGGTCACAAGGATAAGTGTAGTCTATGCAGAACCATTATGCATTGACGTGGTTAACAACGAGACGCCGAGGAGGCCTGCACACCGCGGAGTCGTCAGTCATGTGCAAGTAGGCGCATCAAAACAAGTAGGTGTGTCGGCGTTGGCCATTTAGCTTGTGTGCTAACGTCTACGATCGGCTGACAGAGCCGATAAACTCGTGACATGACTACTACGTCAGCACTTAGGAGTGTACGGAGTGCCGTGGGCGGAAACCAACATCGCAGCTGTACGGTCACTCCTAGTTCGCCGATACGAGTATATGGCCGTTGTACCCTGCTCCAGATGCACTGGTGAGGAATATCACGCATACGGGTGACTTACGCAAAGCCATCTACTCTGGTTATATCAGGCATGACCACGGCCGTAAGAAGTACATGTAAGCAGTACACTGACGGTCCCCGTCAAACGCGTCAATGAACCTGGTGGATACTTCCAGTTTGCCCCACACTATCGCCAGTGGCTCTGCAAAGCCACGCTAAGCACGGCAACCATACCCCGCCAACCGTTCCTGAATGACCGACTGAATCAGATGCGGATGTCCTGTGTCTTCATACCTGTTATTTCCCGAATTTACCCCGCTTCCTCCCCCCTTCCCCAAACAAAGTCATGCAATCCCGTAGTCCGGTCAAACTGACTTGGGCCATTTTCTCGCTGTAACAAAGTTGTGACTCACTGTGAAGTTCGGTAGCTGCCTTGGATGACTCAGTAGTCCTATTTAGGAAAGCACTGCTTACCCCGCCAGGAGAAGTGAGGCTAGAAAATCTACTGATAAAACAGTCAGCAAACTGACCGCGGGTTGTGCACGCAGGATATGCGGTAAAAGAGCATACGAAACAACCACTCCTGTCCCGATGCCTGGATATTCCCACAGTCTACTAGAGTGACACTGCTCATCGGCTCGATTAGTCTACGCATTTTGGCTTCACATGACCCTACTCCATCACGAGAACTATCAACAGCAGACAGCACAACACACACGTTAGGCGCATGCGATGAAATTTACAAGGGTCGTCCTGACGGCAAAACACCGCATGTGTACATCTCATGTGCGCCACTTGCGTGTCGTTTGGTGTAGCCTGACACATGTCTAGTACGGACAACTATTGTCGCCTAGCATGCGTTGGATGGAGGCGCATGCTCCATCATTCACTGGATCCAATCTTATCACGAGTGGGCCAACAAATTCGGTCAAGTCGCTGGTCAATGGGAGGGGAGAGAAGGTGAGGTAAGCCCGAGGGTACCCTTTCCCATAATTTGCCTCCTATCCTTATTTTAATGTGCTGAAACTACTACGACGGTCTAGACCGCGGTTCAGAGTTTTGCCAGCGGATAGAATGACTCGGTCTTCCTTTGAGAGAAGCGTCAGGCTGCAATGACTACCTCTTAGTATGGTCCTTATGGCACACCTCGCCTCTGAGAAATCCGAGTCCGGGTGCGAGGCAACAGACGGCGACTTCGCAATACGCCAATCACTGCGCACAAAGACATCCCATTTGCTTGATCCGGACAGGCCACTACGACATGTACGACTGAGGAGAAGGTGAAGTCGATCCAACTCCGATCCGGCATCCGATACCGCACCATAAACAGTCAACGGAGCGTCAAAACTATTCCGACGCGCTGATGGTCATGGCTAGGAAGACCGCCAACTGACTTTGCCGATGGCTGAGGTTCAGATTGCAAGTGCTCTTTATGTGATTTTTAGAGCTCCAAGTTGGCGTGAAATACGAGCTAGGGCACAGGTAGTGTAAACGGGGTGTTAAGCATCGTCAGTCGCTGCG